TGCTCCCAGGCCTCGGGGGCCTTCGTGGGCTGGAGGCACACATGCGGCTCTGAGTGGCCGGAGCCCAGGGCCCAGTGGCCTGGCAGCAGAGGCTCCGGGCTCTCTGGGGGCATCTCTGAGCCACCAGCCAGTCCCGTTTGAAGCTGGCGCACTGCTCTGGTGGGTTCTCGGCGCCCGCTGGGTTGTTAGGAGGAAGCCGCACAGAGGCAGGACCCGAGACCCAGGTCCCCCAGGCCAGGACCTGAGCACGTCCCTTAACTTCTCTGTGCCTCGGTTTCCCTGGGTGTGCAGTGGGAGACGTGGGCCATGACCTGCCGTGGCTCCACCCACCGCTGGACATCCAGGTGTCCAGCAGGCTCCCGGCTCTGCACCCGGGGGCCACGCGTGGGGACCCATGACGACTGAAACACAGACCAGTGGCCAACAGAAGAAGCAAGATAAACACCACAGAGCTTAGCGGTGACATCTAGAGAAGGTGGGAAGAGGGCCACCAGGGAGGGGGCTCAAAGTGCGTTTGTCGTCCGAGGTGCGACACTAAATGGGGTGGTCAGGGTGCACCTTGAAGACAAGGGACATCTGAGCGAAGAGCTGAATGATGTCAGGAGGTTGGCCAAGGATATGGGGAAGGGTGGTCTAGGTCGAAGGAGGAGCATGTGCAGGGGTCCTGGGGCAGCGTGGGCCCGGGGTGTCTGAGGGACAATGGGGCACCAGAGCAGCTGAAGTGGATTAGCAAGGCAGAGAGAAGCCGAGGACCAGAACAGAGAGGGTCAGGGTCAACTGAAGACCCTGTGGGCTCTGGCTCGGATCCAGGCTCTCTGAGTGACGGGGGAGCAGGGCAGGGCAGAGCAGGGCCTTCTGGACCCACGTCGGGTGGCCGAGAGGGAAGGTCACAAAAGCCCCACAGGATGGTCTCCCTTCTGAGCCCCCTCCCCAGAACTTAAGTCAGTGCCCTTTGACAAACCACCGCTTCCCGCCCCGTCCCCTGGCTTCCTGCTGAAGCTGGGAGCAGGGAAAGAGGAGATTTGTCCTTCTGTCTCCCAGCCCCTGAGGACCACAGCACCGTGGGCCAGTTCCACTTTCTGAAGTCACATGGGATCCAAAATAAAAAATATGACATCCCCAGGGAGGAAGCAGACTGAACAACAGGAACCAGCCCCTCAGAAAGCGCGGGGGAGGCGCGGAGGTGTGGGGAGCGCGTGGGGGGCGCTGCCAGGCAGAGGAGGCTCGGCCGCTCCCAGGTTGCCCTCTGCTGCCCAGCGAGACCAGCCCAGCTGCCTGACCCCTCCCCCAAGCCGAGGGCGGCCACCCCGTGGTGCAACTGCCCTTCCACTGAGACTGAGCGGAGAGTGCCAGATGCCCAAGAGCCACCCAAGAGCCAGCCCGCATGTGGACTTGTCCTGAAACAAGAGTCAGAGGTCAGCACGGCCCGGGCGCACGCCCGGCCAGCAGAAGGCACCTCACGGCCGCTGTCTCCAAACCCAGCCTTGACTCCCCTGGGCCGCGCTGTCTGTGCATCCTCCAGTCGCCCGTGGACGAGGATGCACAGCCTCGGGCCGGGGCGCAGGCGCTGACCACAGTGAGCGACTCACACCCCCAGCTACGAGACGCCAAGGGGACCAGGAAGGGCCAGAAAGGCACAGCTGCGCAGGGGAGAGAGGACAGGCAGGTCAGGTCTTCAGGAAGCGCCACCTGGGACCCCAGGGGAAACCCGGAGCCCTCGCCGCGCACCAGCCCCTTCTCTGTCCCAACGGTGGCCCTCCCAGTGGCCGGGAGCTGGCGCTTGGCCCCGGCTCCCACCACAGCCCCCAAACAGACGGCACCCAGCAGCCGGGCACCAGAGTGACCAGACCCCCCCAATCCCACGCGTGTCAGGGACCTGAGGAGCAAAGGCCCCTCCGCCCCTGCTGGTGGCCCCTTCTGCCTGTCCTCCTCACTGTCCCCTCTGTCCTCCTGCCCGTCCCCCTGTCCCTCTCCTACTGTCTGTCTGTCTCTCCCTTCCTTTCTCTTTATCCCTCTGTCTCTCTGTCACACACACCTGCGTGCACACATAGGCAGATGCACGTGTGCGCACACACACCCAAGAACACACACCTGTGCATACACACCTGTGCATACACACCTGTGCATGTACACACCCATGAACACACATCTGCACACACACCCATGAACACACACCTGTGCACACACACATGTGCATGCACACACCCATGAACACACACCTGTGCACATACACACCCATGAACACACATCTGCACACACACCCATGAACAAACACCTGTGAACACACACCTATACACACACCCATGAACACACACCTGTGCACACACACCCGTGCACACACACCCGTGCCGACACCTGTGCACACACCCGTCCACTCCTCACCTGGCTCCTCTTCCCTTTGGCCCCTCTATTTGGGCTGCACCTGCCGGGCGCCTCTCCTTCCCCACGGGACCTAGCTCCCTGGGGGCGCAGGGTGGGAAGCAGCGGCTGAGTTCCCGGCCTCCTGGCTCCTGCCGCTCAGCCTGGGTCCCCCCCTGTGGCTTCCTTTGCAGAGAGAAGGGAACCGTGAGGCTGCCCGCGGGCCCTGGGGTCACAGGGATGGGACTTACCTCCTTGGTCTCTGCAGCCAGGGCCCCTCTCGGCGGCTGGGGCCAGCAGCCTGTTCCAGGGGCCCCCCGGGAGGGCCGAGCCCAGGGCTCCCTTCCCCAGCAGGGTCAGGGAGATCTTCCTGGCCAGCGCCTCGCCGTCGGGCTCCAGCAGCAGGGCGCGGTGGTACTCCCCGGAGAGCAGCTCCTCCTCCCGCAGGCTGTCCAGCAGGGCCCGCACGCGCCTCGGCTGGCGGCTGGAGAGCAGCGTCCGCACCTGGGCCAGGATGGCCTGGAAGTGGTCCATGGCTGGAGCGAGGCTGCACAGCTGGCCGAGCCGCTCACGCCTGCTGCAGCATCCGAAACGTGAAGTGAAAACCGGGACAGGGAGCCGCGTGTCACTGGTCCCTTCCTGGGAGGTTTCCTCATTTGCCACGGAGGCTGGGCGCCTGGCGAATGGGCAGAGAGGGACCTCGGGCTGATTCAGTCCCTCAGATGTGGCTGGGCACCACCTGTGAGCATGCGCCCCAGGGGACCAAGCCTGGGGGTCCGATGAGCCAACCCACACGTCCCCAGAGGACGGGAACTGGCCTCTGGAGATGACCCCGATGCCTGGGTCCTGTCAGGTGTCCTGTCCCAGTGAGAAGGCTCTGTGGCTGGGGGGTAGGGGATGGGGTGGACCGGTCGGCTTGGGTTCACGCCCAGCTCCACCGTCTGCTGATTTTATGGCCCTGGGGAAATTCCCTGGACGGTTAAGCCTCCTGCTATCAGCACCACTCTACGTGCAGGTGGAGTGACGATGACAATCCCTGTTCACAGGGACCTTGGGAGGACTGCAGCAGCTGCACAGACGACACCTCGGCCCTTGGTCCACAGTGCGACCACAGCTCGGCACCCAAGAGCCGCTGCCATCGCCCACGACTCCCGCCAACAACAGGGAGTCACCTCCCTGGACCTCGGTGTCCTTCTCTCAATATCCACCCATAAAAGCCATCTGGTCTCCTGCGCTGGCCCCGAGCGTTGAAATTGGGCCATGCATTTAAGAGACTTCACCCCCAACCCAGCGGCCATCCAAGGAGCCCTGGTCATGTACTAACGGAGGCTCCACTTGTGATGCACAGGACAGCGGTCTGCATGGCCGCCAGTGCGGTTCAGGATTCCACAGATCCAACCCACCTGACCGCTCTCCTGCCCTTCTGGACTCAGCGCCCGAGTCCTCTCGGGGCCTCAGCCTCCCATCTCCCAGCTGGGGCCTTTCCTGGGCTCTCTGCAGTGAGGCCAAGGAGGTCCCCCTCTAGCGCCCAGTAGCTCCCGCTGACCGACTCCACTACAGGAAAATGGTAAAATCCAATCCCCTGAAGGCACCGCAGAGGGCCGCTGCGGCCTGGGAGCCAGACAAGGAAGGTGAGCGCATCCCTAGTGAACCTCCCAGCTTGAGCCTCCCTGGAGGCAGGCCCTGATGGAGGCTGTGAGGGGCAGTTCCAATGGACGTGGGCAACAACAGCCGCTGGAAAGGGGGGGTAGGAACCCGGAGAGGAGACACACAGGCCTGCCCCAGTTTTTTGTGTCAACTGCCCAAATATCTCGCCCACTTCTCAACCTCCGGAGAGCAGACGCCAAGCCGCGGGCTAAGACCGAACTGAGTCTGAACCGCAGTCCACTCCGGGGCCCGTGGGCTGGGAGTGGGGTGAGGTCCGGAGGCTTCGCCAAGTGATGTCACTGCTAAAAGAAACAAAGGAGGGACCCGTTCAGGTCACACGGGACCCCAGAGTCTGCAACGTATTTGTACTGTCCAGCACACAAGGCAAAATCCCTTGGCCTACACAGAGAGAGAGGCCAATAGAAAAAGAAAACGGTGGAAAGTGGATCGAGGGTGACTCAGACATTGACACCAGGGGCCAGTGTTTTATTTTCTTGATCCTGAGGATTGAACCCAGGGCACTGTGACGCTGAGCTACACCTTAGCCCTTTTATTTATTTATTTTTTTGGAGACAGGATCTTTCTCAGTTGCTGAGGCTGGCCTCAAACTTCCCATCCTCCTGCCTCAGCCTCTGGAGCCGCTGGGATCACCGACGTGTGTCAGGCTGCCCGTGGGCTCCGTGGGAGGAGTGCGATTTGAGGAGCTCTCGAGTGTGAGCAGGTGACTGTAGAAAACCACACCCAGGCTCATAACCGCCAACTGCTAAGGAATGGAGGCCCCGGAAACTGGAGAAAGCAGCTACTCTGAGACTGTGTGTCACCCGCAGAGAGACTCGCCGTGGGAATGGCGCTGGGGGGGAGTCCCAGGGACTCAGCGGGGCGACCTGGTCAGCACTTTGCTGCTCCCGACTTCCTGTTCGCCTAAAGTGTCGATGGTCGGTCATAAGATCGTGGACCTCCGTCTTAGGTCTTCATCTGGAGAAGTCAAAGGTGATGACGGTGACGCTGCTGCTCTGGGACCGGGGGTCTCCATGCCTCCGGGACTCCTCACCCCCGGGCGGCTCAGAGCCACACTTCGGGACACTGATGTCAGGGGTTGCCGTGGTCCTGTCACAGATGGGGACCTGGGCCCTGATTGACAGCCCACCCCAGGGGCCTTGGGGACGAGAAGCCTGTGGTTTGAGACTGGGGGGGAGGGGCAGGGTGGCGGTCACAGGCAGAATGCCCAGGCTGGAGCCCCCTGCAAGGCCAGGGCTCGGGGCCCGAGGTCACCTACCTGCCGAGGGAGGTGACTGCTCTCCTGCTCCAGCTCCCAGGCTTGGGGACCCCGGTGAGGACGCCGCGATGTAACACAAACAAGGTCAGAAGCCACGTCCCCAGTGGAGCAGCCGCCCAACGCCCATCACCCCCACGTCACCCGGTGCACGTCACCCGCCTCACTGTCCAGAAGCCACCCGGGGTGTGAGGTCAGGGGACCTGGGCAGGAACTGGGGACCTGGCAGCCTGTGGGTTGGGAAAAGGAGAAGAGGTGGGGACACGGCCCGCGCCAGGTGGCCACTTCCTCCTGAGACGCAGAGGAGACCCGCTGCCGCGTGGGCAGGTGGGCAGGTGGCCGGCCCGGGACGGCACAGGTGGCCCGCGGACAGGGCACGTGCCGAGCCCCAGCCTGACTCACCCTGGCCACCCACGGGGACGCGTCGGCCACCTTTCTCCCTGGGTTTCCCCCGAGGCACGTGGAGGACAACGGGTGGGGACAGTGAGGTGTTCTCAGAAGGAGGGGACGACCTGCTGCAGGTCGAGTCAGCCACAGGTGGGTCAGGAGACCGGGCCTGGGGGACGCCGGAACAGTGCCACCGTCACTGTCTTCTCCCACCCACTGCCACCGTCACCGTCACGGCCACAGCCACCCTGATCACCTCCATCATCGCCGCCGCGGTTCCCACCACCTCCCCACCATCCCCCAAGACTGGCTGCTCCTGCCACCTCCATCACGGTCACCACCGCCCTCGCCGTCCCCATCGCCCCGTCTCCACGCCTCTGTGTGCTGAACGCGGTCCCCACCACTGTGTCCCCACCACCCCGGCTCCTGGCCCACCCACCGCACCTCGGTGCCCTCCCAGCAGCCCACGGGGGTCCACCTGGTCCATCCTGACGCGTGAAGCTGGGGAAGATTCAAAACCCAAGCCGTGACCCGCCCGTCACTCCCAACACTCCACACGGGGTGCGGGTACCACCGGGGACACGGGTTGGGACCCAGTATGGAAATACCACTGTTTCTCCCAGCAGCTCAGTTCTGAAGACAGAGAGAGACTCTGCCAATCCTCTACCCGAGGCTCAGAGACATCGAGTGTCCTGCTGAAGGTCACACAGCCAGTAACTGCCAGCATCAGGCAGAAGAGGGTCTACATCAAACACACCCCCCCCCCCCGTCACACGCCCAGCCTCCGCCCTGGTCACAGAGCAGGGGAGGCAGGTCTTTTGCACACTATCCAGGTGTGGGAGCCGTGGAGACGCCACTGGACCCCCCTGGAGAGAACCCCCAGGGTTCAGGCAGCAGCCTCCAGCCGCCAGCCTCCACTGGCCTGCTGCTCTTTCCCAGCATGTAAGCTCTGCCAGGTGCTTCCCAGGCGGCCATGGCTGGGCAGTGTGGGTCTCCTGTGGGAGATCCCTGCCCCGGGTTCTCAGTGCCCTGGCGGAGGCTTCTCAGAGCCGCACCCCAGAGCCTCCCTGGGAGCCCTCTCTCCCAGCGTCCGGCCGCCTGCTCTCCATCGGTCTCTGCCTCCCACTTCTTTCAAAGGCATTGTCCCCCGAGTCTCCCGGGCCCCAGATCACAGCCGGGGACTCTCCCCTTCCCGGCCTTGAGCCTGGACTTTGGGCCGACGCCCTTCAACCCTGTGGAGGAGCGTTGGCCACTGTAGCTGGACCCCGCTGTGAGTCAACGCCACGCTGACCCCCACCCGGGGGCTGGCCCTGGCGCCCATGTGGGGTCCCCGTCCACTGTGGACAGTGGGAGCAGGCCTCGACGTCCTCCTCTCTGAGGATCACGGCAGCCCTATGGCTGGGCACCTAAGGGGCACCCGGCGAGGGCGTTGCTCTAGGGAGTGTGGCCTGAGAGGGACAGCGTGACAAGCACTGGGGACGCAGGTGTGGGCCAAATCAAGGTGACGGTCCCACTGTCCCAGAACTTTGTCTTCTTAAAGCCGAATCCAAATCTCTCCGAGATCCTCAAGAGAAGGTCACGCAAACAAGATGAGCGTGACTCTGAGACGGAAGACGGAGGCCGCCCCGCGCCACGGTGTCCTTCAGGGGGAACCGACTGGGTTCAAGGGAAGCAGGAAGCCCGGGCAGGGCGGTGGGTGCCCAGCGCTGGCCGTGGGCGGTCTCTCTGGGAAAGCCGGACAGCGACTCAGCGAGCCAAGGTCAAGGGCATCTTGCTCTCTCTTACAAAGTGTCATGATTCCACGTCCAATGACATAGACGTCCTCTGAGCGCGCACACCTGTCTCCGTCTCCTTCATCCACGTCCGCAACCCCAGTCTCTTCTGTCACACCCACCGCTCTGCGTCGTGATCCCCTTGGGGTGACAGAGTCTCGGGGAACATGTTTTTCAGTACCGTGACTTGAGCCCAGGGCTGTCTACCCCTGAGCTACACCCAGCCCTTTGTATTTTGAGACAGAGTCTTGCTAGGTTGCCCAGGCTGGCCTCAAACTTACAATCCTCCGGCCTCAGCCTCCGGCCTCAGCCTCCTGAGGAATCACAGGCATGTGGGGCTGCACGGCGGCTTCAGGGTACACTTTCCCCTGCCCCTCAACGCAGCCCCGAGACAGACCAACCCGTGTCCCAGCTGCGTCCCCACTCAGCCTCACACGGGGGTGTGCCCCACGGGGGTGTGCCCCTCGGAGCCCAGCTCTGCGCAGCCATCTGCCACCATCACAGGCTGCTGTCGATGTGTGGGTCCACCACGGGCCACGCGTCCAACGGGGGTCGCAGGACACAGGGCTCAGGTGTTTGGGGCGATGCTGGTGGAAACAGACCCACTGTGCTGCCAGTCGGGGAGGACACAGAACCTACCACCATGACCAGTACGTCAGGCCCCGTGACGGTGACCACAGCCCGTCCCTGGGTCACGCGTGGGCCTTTATTATGAGTTTCAAGTGTGCTCCTCCTGTTATCTAAAAGACGAGCCTGCTGTGTGTCGCTCCCACATCCGGCACTGACCACGTCTTCTGACTGCATCGTGCCCAGGTTTAGGTTTGTTGATTGCATTCCACGATGGTGACATGGTGACCAGATAGCCTGACCGAGCATTTCCTCGAACATATCCTGGTGTTAAGCACTGCACATCTGTACCCATGCTCACCTGAGCAGGGCACGATAGTGCTTGTCTGTGATCACAGCTACTCAGGAGGCTGAGGCAGGAGGATAGCAAGTTGGAGGCTGCCCTCGCAACTTAGTGAGACCCTAAGGGCTGGGGACGTGGCTCAGTGGTGAGCGCCCCTGAGTTCAGTCCCTGGTACCCAAACCCCAGAACCTGGGTAGGAACAGCAGGATGGGACGGAGACACTCCTTGAAGCTGCGGTCAGTGGGACTAAGCTGTGGAGCCGGCCCATCCTCAGCTCAGGAGGCAGCTACAGGGTCGTGTCCACTCTCGGGTGGACAGATGTGAAGGGCTGGAGGGCATTTCCTTCTTTTCAGCCTGATTTCCTGATGAAGGTTCGCTCGAGAGCGAGACGGGACGATCTTTCCACGAGTTTCCAACGCCGTGGTCACACGGAGACGTGATCTGCAAAGACATTAAAGGTCCCTCGGCCTGCGCCGTCCCTTCAGTCCCTTCCTACTGAAACCCGTCGCTTTCCTCGTCCCCTCTGGTTCCCGGGTCTCGTCTGGTGCTCGGCTTTGGCGCTCTTTGGGGGTGATTGGAATGTCCCCCTCATCACCTGCATCCCCCCTTCAGGAAATACTGTCCCTTGGCAAGAGTGGCCACGTCACCTTGCACAGGGTCCTGAACCCTCGGAGACAGACTGGCCAACACCCAGAACAGAGGGTGTCCGTGTGCCGGGGCCAGCTGCTGGTGACCAGGAGGGGGGGGTCAGCCCGTCGTCAACAGCCTAATGGATTCTGTCGACCCCGTGTCACTTTCCTGCTGCTGATAAAGCTCTAGTGACGTGCGATGTCACCTTCGGGGAGGCTGGGCGGAGGGGCATGCAGTCCCCGACACACTGAGCCACGTCACCCGGGTCCATGACCATGGGACCAAGAAATGACTCTTGGCCGAGAGGAGCTGCGTGAACACAGAGGGCCATGCTGAGCGGCCAAACTGACCAGGGACGGGGACCTCCGCCTTGCTGGCCGACTCAGTCGAGACTGAGGAACGGGGACCCACAGTAAACACGGGGCTTTCACGACACCCTTCCACAGAACCTTAACTGCCTATTGGCCACCGTCCGTCCCTTTCCTGAGACGCACGAGCTCCTTAATCACTGGGGAGGGGCCTTCCTTCTTTCTTCTGTCCCCAACGTCCAGGGCAGTGCTCGGCCCTAGGCGTGGGCCTGGGGGGACTTAAGGACTTAAGGCTTCTGTTGAAGCCACGGTTGCCATGGACAGGTAATGGGAGTGACTGGAAGGGCCCACCTTCGCTCCGCAGGTGCAGGAACGGTCTTTCCCCAGGTCCCTCCTGGCTCGCTGACCAGGAAGAAAGGGGGGGACTCAGGTGTGACGTTCAGGAAGACCCAGCTCGGGGTGCCGTCACCTCTCAGGCCCGGGAAGGTGACCCGGGGTGAGATCACCCCCACGCTCCCCGCTCAGAGCCGGAGGGGGGTCAGGTTGGTCTGTTCTCCCCCCATGGGGCGTGGCTCCTTTCTTCTCCCCAGCGGAGGCACAGGGGACTTTCACCTTCATCAGGTACAGACCTGGCGCAGGGGACTCTGGACTATCTCCTTTCATGTTTTTGGAATGTCCTCTGGCTGGTGCTGAAACCTCCTTTGTCCTTTGATTTTTTTGGAGGGGGACGGGTACCAGTCAGGGACACACAACCACTGAGCCCATCCCCAGCCCTGTGTGTACTTCACTGAGGGTCTCACTGAGCTGCTCAGGGCCTCGCTGTGGCTGAGGCTGGCTCTGAACTCCCTACAGATGGCTGCGACTGCCGATCTGCTCGCCCCAAAGTGACACCTGTCTCCCCACAGCGCAGCGTGTGACCACCAAGCTGACATTTTATTTTATTTTATTTTATATTTATTTTTTAGTTTTCGGCGGACACAACATCTTTGTTTGTATGTGGTGCTGAGGATCGAACCCGGGCCGCACGCATGCCAGGCGAGCGCGCCACCGCTTGAGCCACATCCCCAGCCCCAAGCTGACATTTTAGAAAGAACAAAGAAGCCCATCGCTGACCCTGATGCATCTCACCATCAAAGGAAAGGCGCCGGCTCCTCAGGGAGCTTTCCTGCTGCACGGGCTTCACTGACACCTAACAACCTGGGACAAGGGAGCCGCTGCCACCTTTGAGGCTGTTAAACTGCTGCTTATCTCCCTGACATGGTGCCAAGGCACGTGGGGTGGGGCAGGGAGCTGGCCAGAGCGGCCACTCCTCCCCAGCCCAGAGCACTTTCTGGCTCCTTGGAAACATTCTCCAGGTTCCTGCCCTCCCCCTCCCTCTCTCCCTCTCCCTCCCTCCCTCTCCCTCCCTCCCTCCCTCTCTCTCCCTCTCTCTCCCTCCCTCCCTCTCTCTCCCTCTCTCTCCCTCTCCCTCCCTCCCTCTCCCTCTCTCCCTCCCTCTCCCTCCCTCCCTCCCTCTCCCTCTCTCTCCCTCCCTCCCTCCCTCTCCCTCTCTCTCCCTCCCTCTCCCTCTCTCTCCCTCCCTCCCTCTCTCTCCCTCCCTCTCCCTCTCTCTCCCTCCCTCTCCCTCTCTCTCCCTCCCTCCCTCTCTCTCCCTCTCTCTCCCTCCCTCTCCCTCTCCCCCTCCCTCTCTCTCTCTCCCTCTCTCTCCCTCCCTCTCCCTCTCCCCCTCCCTCTCTCTCTCTCCCTCTCTCTCCCTCCCTCTCCCTCTCTCTCCCTCTCCCTCCCTCCCTCTCTCTCCCTCTCCCTCTCCCTCTCCCTCCCTCCCTCCCTCTCTCTCTCTCCCTCTCTCTCTCTTTCCCTCTCCCTCTCTCCCCCTCTCTCCAGGAATTGAGCCCAGGGGTGTTAACCACTGAGCCACATCCCAGTCCTTTTATTTTATTTTTTGAGTCAGGGTCTCGCTAAGTTGCTTAGGGCCTCGCTTTTTGCAGAGGCTGGCCTTGAACTTGTGATTCTCCTGCCTCAGCCTCCTGACTGCTGGATTGCAGGCTGCGCAGCAGGAGCAAGGAGCAAGCGGCTGGGTCCTTTCTTTCTCACGCCCCCTCCCCCAGGCTGTCACCCGCCAGCCCCCAAGCTGCTGCTGTCCAGGACACTGTGGCCTCCTTGCCAGTAAAACCAGGAACCACATCACCTGATGGCCATGAGCCTCTGACATGGTCCAGCACTGTCTCCTCGAAGGTCCACCACTCTCTTGAAGTGCTGTCCCCTGCGGGGCTCCTTCTCCTCATCACCTCCGCCCCCTGGAGACCCCTCAGCTGCACTCACTTCCTGATGAGCTCATCCAACCTGAGCCCTAAACCCCCTCCCCTGCTGACTCCGGATCTACCCCCCCAGACCTCTGCAGGACCCCATCATCCTAAACCACTGCCCGACTTCACAGGGCTTCCTGCAGGGAGCCTCTCACATTCACCCACCTGCCACCCCCGAGTTCCTTATTCTCTGTCCCCGTTGGAAGTGTGACCCCGTCAGTCTTCGCACATTAGAGAGTCTGAAGGTTTTGAAGTCTGCCAAACCTCTTGCAAGCTGTGTGACCCTGAGTAAGTTAGTTGACTTCTCTGAACCTCATCTGTGAATGGAAGAGAAATACATCCCTACCTCTCAGGGTGACCATGGCTGAAATGAGGCGTAGTATGCAGAACTCCTGAGCCCACCACGTAACAGTGTCCAGTCTGTGTGAGCATTATTATCATCTCTAAGTGACCCTGCGAGGAAGATATCTTGATCTCCATTTTACCAACGGGGAACCAGAGGCACACAGCGTGCAGCAGCCTGTGCCACTCACAGGGGCCAGATGGGAACACCAACCAAGTCCCCTGCCTCTTACATCTCCCTGCCCTCTCCGTCCTCACAATTTCCGACCGTTTCATTGTACACCTACTGGTGTTGGCCTCACATGGAGACTCTGAACCATTCTCAGATTCCCGCTGTCACTCGGTGCCCACACTCCCTCGCTCTCGGGCCTGGGTGCCGTGTGCAATCCCTCTCCCACAGCGGCCACCCTACAGCGTGGGGAAGCCACTTCCTGTTATTCTGCAGACAGAAACACTGTCTCCAAGTGGAAGGTCCCTCGCTTGTGATAGCAAAAGCCACCAGGCACAAGGCTGGGAGTGGCGCCTGCCTGTAACACCCAGAGGCTGAGGCAGGAGGGTCTCAAGTTC